GGGCCGCCGCGGGCGACAGTAGTTGTGCGCGGCCCTTTAGGGCCGCGGGGAAGTGGTGGAGCCCGCGGCGGCCCGCAGGCTCCTGCGATACGCTTTGAATAGAAATCCGGAAGCCACCGATGACCCAGAAACCTTCCTGGCCAGGGGGCCAGTTTCTCATGCGGGGGGCTTGAAGACGAAGGAGTGGGACTGTAATCAAAAATAAATAGCGCCAAAGCGCGGCCCGCAGGGCCGCGCTTTCGCCGCGCGGCTGGTTAGGCTTTCGCGCTGGTTAGATTTTCGCGCACGCATTTGGTTACCAATATCGCCCTCCGGGCGCGACCTTCATACATAGCAGAGACCGATCTTCTGGTCGACGTCCTCGGCCTGTGCATGCAGAGGACGGTGGATATATTGAAAGGCAAAGGCAAAGTACTAGGAGGAGGCAAAGGCAAAGTACCCAGGATTTCACTTTGGATTTTGTCGTCATTGCAAGTACAGCTGTAGTCTTCGTTGGTTTGTGGCTTGGAAATGTTTTTGCTGGGATACGTGGGTGATGCTGGTAATTATGGTACTTTCTACACTGCGCATTGCCCGGATTTCAAAGCTGTTCTCGCAACAGAACGAGGTGTGGGAAAACGCCCTCGCGAACTGGCCCATGGAGGGAGATATTCGTAGCCTTCCCGTCACTGATCCGAAGATTGTGCATATGCAAACGAAAAATTGGATTTGGTTTCCCCATGGTGTCAGTGTCAGCTTAAAATTTCCTCCAGATAGACGTAGTTCTAGCCTCCAGATAGTGGTCCTTTGTCCTGCATCCAGAGAATGGTACTTCTAGCGGGAACAGTAGTTTCTGGTTCGACTCATACTCATAGTGCATCCAGGACGCCCGTTTCGTATCGTCTTTCTGCGACGCATGAGCATTATCTCGGGCATGCGATGCGTGAATATTGTAAACGAGACTTAAATTTATTTGATTCATCAAAATGAGAATCAACACGATTTGCGTTTTTCCCAGTAGTTGTGCGTTTTGTAAATCTAAATATAGTGCGCGAAAACAAGATACGGAAACGTATATTAATGCGAAACCCATTCCCATTTTTCGGTGGCATATTTGGGATTCGAAATGCAGTGACGCCGCCGCTTCCGGAGAATTTTCGGGACTTCCGTGCCCAGGTATTGTACATCGAGACTTTATCATCTACCAACTGTTTGTGTTTGCATAGACGCTAGCGTTTTGTTGCATGTGACGGCCTTTTGGTACACTAAGTGGATTTGTCCTTGTCGTCACTTGTTTCGTATATAGATATACATAAAGGAAGCTTCGCAACGTCACGGTATCTAAAATCAGTATAGCAAGTAATGAACTTCAACACCACAGCACGGCGTTATTTGGTTGTTGGATGTGTGGAGTCCGATCTGCGCTATCGCTTGCGTCGCCACGCTCTTGGGAGGCTACGCACAGCTGCCCTCCGCGGCCCAACGCTTGCCGTAGAGGAAAATAGCACCAAGCCGAATATTATATATAGTGCATCGGGGACACAGACACTACAACAAGGAAAAGGATAAGGAAGGTTCAGGGACAGATTCTTGATCTTTCGGGACCGTCGAGGAGGAGGAGGAGTGTTGCGTACCGAAGGGCGGATTGGAACCCAATGGGAAAGAGGACGAAAGAGAACAACCAGACTAATTGTAAATTCATCCCGGTAAAGCAAGGTAACATACCAAAAAAAAAAGCTGTTGATCTATCATGAGCATCTCCATGTTGACGCTGATGCAATATTGTTTTGAACTACTTGTATGATTTCTTTGAGCTTTTCACTTTCTTATTTTCATAGTTTTTAACGCAACTACAGTTTTGGACTACTACTTCACCACACTCGTTCTTGAATGGACTACGTTCATTCTCCACCGGCCGACAAACTACATGTACATGACTCGATTGTATTTGAATCACTGCATGAAAATGCCCGTTGGCAAGGACCACCTGCTGCGCTTGCGCAACTGGCTAAACAGACTGCCCTCGTGTCACCACCTTGAATGATGGAGGTGTTGGGTGTGTTGGGAGGAAAGGCCAGCACTCCATTCGTATTCTAAGTACTTTAAAAACTTTCTCGCCAGCTTCACTTCACCTCAAGCATTGCCATACATTTATACCATCATGATCATGTCTGCGGAAGTTTTTAGGCCGGCACCGGCTCGAAACACTGACTATACCTTTTCGTGAGCTTTTTTTTAGCTCTCCTTAATCCGCACTACTGGAGACGGAGATGGACGAGTTTTCTTTTTCACTAACGTGAGACTGAGCACTCTCGGCGTTCATCAAATGGAAATGTGTATAATGCTCGGAAAAAAAAAACGTATAGCCCCCCTACTAGACGAGCCACTATCCCAAAAGTTGTACATCCGTTGGCTATAATCCATTACCGGCTCTAGAGTAGCTAATTGTCGTTTCTGGTTCCCTTGATGCTCATCGACATCATCGTCTACTGAAATCTGACTATTCTCATTTCAGCGCTCCTTGTCTTGCGCCAGTCGACTTTTTTGCCTTGGTATTTTTTAGCTATGGGAAAAAAGCGCTAAGCGAGAGGGTGCTGTCAGAGAAAAGTTGTAGTAAGGTAGTTTTGTCGGATCCTCATCAGGGGTAGCATTACATATAGAACTCCCGCAGGAACGAGTGGGTCGCGCAGAATTGCGGTAGAAGTACCCCAGAAGTTGCAGCTCTGGTTGCTTTGCGCTCCAGCGCGTCTTGTAGGATCTAACTATACTTAGTCGTGCTTGGACCCTCAGGAAAGATGGCAAAAATACTCGAGCATATGTTGGAAGCAGTAAAAAATGATAGATGCAGCACCTCCTAGAGAAAGTGCTCGTGTTGAGCGCGCGGAGGTCGTGCGGATGAACTCTCGAAAAAAGTAGACAAGGGGAGCTGGAAAAAATTTTGGAAAAAACCTTGGAAAATTTAGAATTACAGCAAAAAATAAGCCCTGACCTAGTTTCCTCAGCGATCGTAATTTGGTTTCTGGCATCGTGCGGAAATGAAATGACGTGTCGTGAGTGCAGGGAAGAAATCGGGTGGCAGTATTGTTGAGCAGCTCACGCAGGTGTTCAACACACAATTTTTTTTGACAACACGACTGATGCAGGATGAAAGGAACAGGAAGATCCTGTAAGTGTAACAAAAATGATCACACAAAGTCAGGCGCATTGTCTTCGTCCCCGTCTTGTTCTCGGAAGTTCTGACGTGGCGCACCAGAGACAGCATACTTCACAGGCTCCTGCGTCTTCGAAGCGTGGACCAGGCAAGATCTGTCATGTGGCGCAAGCGTCTAAGAAGTCTGTGCACAGTTTTGGCTTCAGCTTGGTTACAATTTTTTTGTTGACACAAGCCACTTGTTCACCTTGAAATGTCGGCTGGTCTCTAAACATCAAAGAGTCAATCAGCATAAAAATGCAGCTTCCTTAACGAAGCGGGCCTTGATATAAAGAATTGCTCACTCATGCTCATCAACAAAATGCCTTTCACCTCCTCCATGTCCTCGTATAGAGCACGAGCAGGACCCATGCCGGCCGGTGGCAGATCTACTGCTACTTCTGCAGTGGTGTCAACATGCCGATCTCCTGTTCTCCGCCTCCTACTTTGCAGTGGTGTCATTTTAGTGCTGTCACATTTCCATGGAGCAGCGACCGTTGCAGCAGCTGCTGCGGACAATAAAAGCTCAATCCCAGCAGACCCGGACACGCAGCTGGAGCTGCAGATGACCGGGGAAAACAGCGACACTGCGAGCACTAGCCAGATACACGGCATCAACCTGCAAGAATCCCGACATCAAGAACGACTACAGCGAGAGGAAAAGCAAGAGCGTACTATTTCCGACGGCCAAGACGTGAACAAGGAAAAAAGAAAAACGAAGACCTACCTCGACTTGTTTCCACCCATTCCCGACTATGATTGCGAGGAGGTCGTGCTTGCGACAACGGACAGGCACCACAAGACTGCGGATAAAAAGCCCTCGCAACCAGACTGGCGCGCCATCCGAATTCAGCTGCGCAACGTGCTCGCGCGCTACAAAAGCCAGGATAGGTGGCCGTCTACTGCCGGCGCAGGAGGTAGAAGTACATATAACAGAGGTGGCGATGACATCAACGACGACGACGACGACGACGAGCAGGCCGACGATATTATACCAAGACTGCCGCAACTCGTCTCGGAATCGGTGTTGTTTCCGCTGTTGGCTCGCATGTTCAACTCCAGGACCCCATCTGCAGGACGACGTCGTCGAGAGGGAGGTCCAGATCCTCGTCACAGCGATGAAAATAGCAAAGCCAGTGCTAACTTCTACTCGCCCACCTCCCCTCCCACCCTGGAAAACACGGAGTCGACGTTGCGAAACCAGTGCCCACTGGGGTATCTGAGTACGTTGCTCCTGTTGCTCTTCTGGCCCGAGGCGAAGATGAAGGTAGAGCGGCGCGCGGAACAAGCAGGGCTGTTTCAGGTACAGATCAGACAGAGGGGCGCGGCGAAGACATCAAGCAGGAGAGCGACGTCGATTACAGCTGCAAGGTTACCAGCAACAGCACCGCGTAGGGACGCGACGGAAACGTCCGACGAGTCTGGAGCAGGTCATCAAGGTCTACAACCATTTCCGCATGAGGACAGGAGTCGGTCTGAAGGGACTACTTCAGAAGACGATGAAGCGGTCGGCTTTTATGTCGATGAAGCAGGGCGACAGGATGCTGAAGTAGATGATTTGTTGTTCCTGAACACCACAAGCACCTCCAGCAGTACAACGAAGACAAAACTCCAACACCACTCACTACACTCCTTCTTTTTCCAGTCCCAGGTCCAGCATCTCTCCGAACAAGAAGGAGCTACATCAGCAGCTTCGGACCACACGTTATCCGAAGTAGGTTCGGTCTTGCTGCCGCAGCACTGCGATTTGCTGCCGGACCCGCCGCAGGGGGACGCTACAGAGGATCATGGGCATCATGATGTTCATAGGCGTGACCGCTCACGTGGCCACAGTGACGGTCGCGCTGGTATGAAGAAGGACCCGAGCGCCAAACTTTTGACTCGGTGGTGGAGCAAGATTTATCTACCGGAGTTCGTCCTCGGGGTCTTTCGCCGGGTGCTTTTGGTGAACAAAGTTCCGTTTCTCGCCCTCGCCGCGACCGACTGGCCAGTGCTGGATCTCTTATGCTATAAATTTCGTATGAGGTTCTTTCGTCTCGTGTGACGGGATTTTGTTCAAATGCTATTTCGAAGCCTCTCTCATATGCACAATACAATGAGCTTCGCTAGCACAGCAGAGACACAGCGTGCCAGTCTACCTTTTTGGCGTTGCGGTATGGCGGCACAACCGTGCTACGCTCTATAAAGTGCATTTCCTCTAATCATGAACCCGAAAGTGAAAACGAAACGTTGAGCAGCTCTCGTTCGCGTTACGTGGCGTTTAGAGCCTCTTCCATACCCGCCTGCTCTCAAAAACGACGGAGCATCACTTTCCCCACGACGTTCTCGGCGATACACAGCAAGCGCTGCTCTCGGCTAGTAATACTTTTTTCCCCAACCACGACGACAGTCGCAACGACCAACCGAAGCCCCCGGTCGCGCCAGGACCGGTCAACATGTGCACAACTTTCGGCAAGTACCCCACCGCATTCCTGCAGAAGAAAATAGCAGCCGCACACGAGCTCTTGACCAGCAGCCATGCGTACCACGAAAGAGCGGAGGTTGGGCTGCTGTATTTGCGAGACCTAGACCCTCTGATCTCCGACATTTTCGACCAAGCGGGGTTTTTCTCCAGCGAGATCACCTCCGCGGAGTTTCTGAAAAACTTGAAAGTCCACGTTTGCCCGGCCATCACGCTGACGCTAGTGTCGGTCGCGTTAATCTTGTCCGTGCTGGCCAACCCGGCGAATCTGGAGCCTTTCGTGCATATCGGGGAGCTGGTGCTGGAAAACCAGTTGGCGGAGGTGTTACATCCGGCGGTCGGGTACGTGGCAATGTTACTGCTGTCGTCGTGGTCCGTAGCGAGCGGAGGCGAATCTGGTGATGGAGCAGCTGCGTCGGTCAGCACGGGCTCATCTACTAGCGAAACGACAGGACGAGCGGGTGGAGTTGGAGACGCATCTGGTACAACCTCTAGTACCGCAGCTTCCACACAACAACTTCCTTCAACCGCAGAAATTAATTGTCCACACTGGACCTGTATTCTGGCGGCGTTTAGTACGTTCAAACTTCGTCGGTACCACGTGAATTACCCAACGCTGGCTGCTGCGAGGACTGCAAGCAGAATAGAAGCTGCGGCGTCACGAGAAATCCGTGCTGCACGTGGTCCACATTATAATTCGGATGTTGATGGTATTCATACCTCGGCGTTCTCTGCTCCTGTCGAGGACTTTTTCGACTTGGCAGCTGCTTCTCCCTCCGACGTCGAGGAGCCACCCTGCGTCGTTGGTCAGCGGGCGGCCATCGCTACGGACGAGCAAAGAAGTAGCAATTTTATGATTGTGAACTGCGAAAGGGACGATCGTCAGCAGCTGTCTGCAAGAGCTGCGGATCACCACGAAGATGCTCGCTCGCCCACGCGTCGTGAGGATGAAGACCACGACGGAGTTTTACATGCTCGTCGACGGCGGGAGCATGATCGCGATAGCGACCACGACTCTGAGCCGCCTCGAAGCATGAAGAGCGAAACGCAGATCGGGATCGAAAGAAAGTTGCGGGCGTGGTTGCGGGTGAAAGTTCAAGAGAGCAGGACAGACTGGGAGAGAAGCGGCGTGGCCTCACCGCGACCACCGGAAAAGCAAAATGACAATAGTTCTCCAGCGACTGTCGTCTACCTTTCCGTCGTCGGCGGCCAGGAGTACGCTGCGTATCTGAAGCCGTGGGTCAGGAGGTTCTTCCAAGTGCACAGCTTTCTTCGGTACGAGAATCCTGACGCTCTACCTGACCCTGGGAAGGATGGTAAAAGTAGATCCCCCTGGAAGGCAAGTACTACAGCAGGCACCGACACCACTCTGCATCAAAGGACATCTGCTTCTGCAGCAGGAACCCGAACTAAACCGGCCGGGGCCAGCGAGGCATCAGCGTTGCTCGCACTGGTGTGCCTTGACGGGCAAGCATTGAGTGCTTGTCGCGAAGAAGAGAGACTGCTGGATAGAAAGCCTCAATCTTCTCGTAAAATAGTTCCGGACTACGGGGACGAGGACCGCGCGCCTTTTCAAAAAGCAAAAACGGTGATGGGAGATTTGTTCTGCATCGACAGCACGAACACCGGCGATGCGGTGTTTCTCAAGTTCCGGTGGCTGTTGCCCTTACTTGAGGAAATCTTGAAAGTCTCAACGTCGAAGTCGATGCCACCGGAAGAACTTTCCCGCGGTGGTGATCATACGACGCGGGGAAATGAGGCGGCAGCGACGAGTTACGTTGTCTGGACAGATTGCGACTTGTACTTTTTCAAGGATCCGGTGCGGCAGATACTGACGAAGGGTTCGACTTCGGAAAAGAAAGAACTACCAGCTGCCAACGACGCTATCAAGGTGGACCAGCCGGATCTTTTCGTCACTGAGCATTTTGACGGAAAGTGTCTGAACAATGGTTTTTTCGTCGTGAAAGCGACGTTGAAAATGCTAAATTTCTTCCAATCATTCACATACTTCCTCTACGCCAAAAATCCGTTCGCGAACAACCAGAATGCCTTTGACGCGTTTCTCGGACACAGTCTGCAGGAAAGTTTCGCGGTTGCGCAGGGGAAGGAAGTTGGGATGGTGGATGAAGATGATGCAAATGGTGCTGCAATCGTGCGGCCAGTTGGGACAGGAGGTGGGGAAGATGTAGAGGGTGAAGCACGTGCACAAGATGTAGACACCTCTACTAGCACTACAACCTCACTCATCGTATACAAACTCCTAAACGTCGAGTCTGAATTCATTTCTGCGGAAGGGTGGCATGAAAGAAGCGCAGAGAAACAACACAGCCGCGAAGATAGTGATTTATCTACGAAAGCACAAGAACTACCTAGAAGTAGTCCGATTCTCTTTCATTTTTGGCAGTCCGACTACGCGAAGCAGCCATCTTCAGCGGCGGCCGAAAAGCAGCAAGTGGAACAAAGTAGGTCCAGTGCTTTCCCTTGTGTGGGTCCGCTTTCCGGCCGGAAACAGAGCTACTTCGAACTCTTCTATGGCGACGTGTTTCAAAGTAATAGTTCAATCGCAGGGTCGGATATCGCATCAGAAAGTACACGGGAAAGCAGAATCCAAGCTGCTTTGGCAGCAGTTCGCTCGCCAGCGCCGCGCGCGAAACCGGAAGACCTTCCCGGCTGTACGGTCCTGACCGCGGGCGCACAGACTATCGCGGCCAGCTATGCGGATTTGGATAGTAGCGACGAGAGTTTAAAAACACCGCACATGATGCAGCACGGGGACGTAGCATCATCAACGCGACCAGAGTCTAGGAATGGTAACTCGTACACGGCAGAACTGTCGCAATCCATTCATGATTGGGCAAAACCGGATCCGGAGGGATTGGAGCGGGAGCGCACTAGATTTGTGGATGAGCAGGTCATCTTGCAAAATTTATTCGGCGCCGATGACGAATCGGAAAGTGATCTGTGACAAAGAAAAGATTTAGACTCATGCCGAAGTCACGTGCTGGTGCTACTATAATTCTTGATTTCATCTGTTTGATTGAGCATAGTCTTGGTGAAAAGCACGACATGGGAAATAGATGCAACGAGTCGGTGCTCGTTTGAAATAGAAATGCCGAAGAAAGAAGGGCGCGAACGCTGTCTCTGAAGAATGAGCTACCCTGTGACTAAGGAGCGACGTTTTCTAGTTGTCTGTGGATAGTCGTATAGATTATTTTAGAATGTGTTCTCTCGTCGCGTGTCGGAGGATGTCAAACTCCAACTGAGCTATGACAACGAAAGAAAGGCAGTATATCGCGGAAGTGTTAGCGAGTTTTGGTGCAGTTTATTTTCCAATCCTACGCACCAACGCCAGAGACAAGGAGGCAAAGGAGTCTCTTTTTGTTCATGCGTCATGTGCTTCGTTTCATTTCTGCGTTTCCTAGTACTGTTTTGTGAAAGGAGAACAATGACACTATACTTTCTTCTGAGTGTGATGGCTTCCCTTTTAAGGGACGAGCAAAAGAATTAAGTGCCTTTTCTGCTTTCTCACCCGACAACTAAAGAACTGCGTCTGTTGAACTGGCAAGAAATTTAAGGAAATGGAAAACGAAGAATCAACGCTCCGGCGGTGGTAAAAAATTGCAATGTCATTTAAAAAACCGTAGGGAATTAAGAAGTTGTATTGCAAGAGTTCGTACAGCCACCCGTATCCGATGTGACGTTTTGAGTCAGGAGGGCGCACATGTGTCATGTCGAACTGGCAGAAGTGGTTTCTTTTTCCCTGTCGAGGTCAGTTTGCTTGCAGGGACATGGTCTACGACAAGCATGATATTTGTATGAGCATCACCAGCAATTGAAGCGCATTTTCTCCGAGTCAAAACTTTACTCCTGGATATTAGAAAAACCAAAGATGAGCTCCGGGGTTCCGATGATGATGCCGCCGCAGTCCTTGACTGCCGGCATGCCGGATCCGTCCACCATCGCCAAGCAGAGTATTGTTTTTCATGTTGCGGCTGTGCTTTAAATTTAGAAACAATCTACCAACAACACGTTCATTTTTTTGATTTAGTGATTGCATTTGCCTGCTAAGATACCACCCGCCCAGTAAATGTTTTCGTGGTCTAGCTATGAACTTCACCCATTCTTAAAACATCGATTGAAAACAGAGGACGCCTACATGAAGATGCTGGACGAGCAGGTGAAGCAGGGCACCCAGGTCCTGGAGGCCCAGGTGAAGCACCAAAAGGAGTACCTCCTCGGTCAAGCCGACCAGCAGAAGAAGCAGTTCATCATGCAGATCGACATGGAGGTGAAGCAGCAAGAGATGGCCCTGGACCAGCAGCGCATGGAGCAGCTGATGGCCCTGCAGCAGCAGGCCGCGCAGCAGAAGGCCGCGTTGGAGCAGCAGGCCATGCAACTGTCTATGGAGTACCAGCAGAAGAAAGCTGAGGAAGAAATGCAGAAGCAGCAGTACTGAAAATTTTGATGTCGATGCGGTCATTTTAGGTTTTTTTAAGATTCGAAGTCTGATGTGCGACAGCCGAATTCTGATTGACGTCGAGTCCGTTGGAGAAAAAAACTTATATTCATTCAAAGTAACATGATGCGCGGAAACAAAACTCAGATTCGACATGGAGAAGAAGCAGCAGGAGATGCAGATGAAGATGCAGGAGGAGATGGCCAAGTTCCAGGGTGCCGGTCAGCTGTTCACCACCCCCGCCTTGGGCACGGCCATGCCGGGCGCCGGTGCCACCTACACCTACGGCCCCAACGGCGAGCTGGTCCCGAAGTAAGCGGCTTCCTCAGGAATGAGCAAGATCTTGGGTGTCCTGTCTTTCATGATCATCTCCATGGCCAAGAAACCTTCGTCGCTGCGCAATAATCAACCCTGACGCTACTAGTTCAATTTGGGCGACCATATGTAAAATGCCGTTCAGACCATGCGCTGCTAACTTCTCCATACAGTAGTCTTCTCCGTACGTTGGACGTATCGCATGTTGAATTTATCCTAAGGATGAAGCACACTTTAGACACCATGGCGGGCTATCAAACTTTGGTTTCTGTTGAATCTTGACATATTGTCAAATTCTGTACAACATAAGCAGGGAAGCAAGTACGGAACTCACTGCATGAATACGTCAATAGCTTCTACACATGTCGTTTACAGGTTTTTTACAACCTTTCCGATGTAAGTCGTTACGTACCTCTTTTCAGCTTTTTGACACTTGCGCTTCACGATATGCCACAGGGCCGAAAAAAAACGATTTTTTCCAACTAACGTGGGACACTGTAGAGCCTTTCTACACCAGTTCCCGCCAAGGTGGAAGATTTCGCTTTGAACACAACCTACGCGTAAGACCACTAGGTTTAGTGCGATTGAAAAGCTTAGCTGTAGACCCTAAACGCAACAAGTGGCAGCAGCGAAAATTGCTACGTTCCTCGTGGCTGATCTTTTCGGACATCACGCATGAGAGTGGCAGGTTTGTTTCTCGCGTTGATGCCTTAGGATTGTGTCAACCTGGAGTGGTACAAAAGCGCCGTCCATGATTCCGCATAGAAAACTTCATCAATTGATGAAAGCACAAACATATTGATTCTAAACTAACTTGCCCCATTTTTTGGGTGATCTATCAGCTGCGACTTGGAGGCCCCGAAATCCTGAGTTCGCATGTCAGTGTTGTATTATCGGTGTGTATATTAATATTATGGAAACACAAATAAACAAGTGCTTGTCTAGGCAATACCGATCCTGAATTGAGAAATAGCGTCGGTCCGGACAAAAGCATGGCAACTGGAAACTCGTCTAGATGAGGTCTTTGTGTCAGTTCGTTCAATATCAATCTGGGCTGTGGACAGTGCGATGCATTTCTGTCTAGCATGTAGTCGTATCTTGTTGTGCCGCAACGGGCTCCAGGGGGGGAAGATCATCATGCGAACGTGCGTGAATTCAATGATGGTGAAACTCGGTTGTGCTCGTAAGTCGTGATGTGGTCGTTACATTTGGGTTCCTTCTGGTTGGGATAACAAGCAGGATTTTGTCTTCAACACTCCGACAACAGTAACGTGGGGCCAGAAGACAAGCTTTTTTTGTTGGGTGGGGTAGACATTGTTGTTATAGCTGGAGAAGTAAGTAGTTGTAGTTCTGCAGTACACAATATCAATGACATTACTTACCCACCAGGTGTTTGTTGGCTCCTCTCATTTGATTGCGCGATAACTAGTCTTAACCTAGTACCCGCACTACAATTTGTTTTCGTTTTTATCAGACGCGATTATAAAAAGGAGCAAACCTCCCAGCACACAAAGACAAATGGACTTCCGAGAAACAGCAATGTTAGTGTCACCAGTGGCATAGCGACAATGTTAAACTTTCTGCAGACATACGACTGCGATGGTTCAAGTACGTCGGACCATAGAAGGCACGGGAGCTGCAGCACATACTTATCAGGATACGTAACGCCATTTGAGCAGATGGAGTCGCTTATCTTCCCCCCCGACAACAACCATAACCCCAACACTGGCACAAGTCCTTCCGGCTTCATTGCGCCGCTACCTGTAGGAGCATTAGCGACACCGAGTGGAGATGGTAGTGTGTTTCGTTCTCGTACTCGTTTCCTATGTGATCACTTTTTATGTGATCATTGATTCTGCATCAAATGATGCATCGATCCTTTTGTTCTCTACACATTTCATGTGTTATTCCTGTTACTTCATCGCTGTACAATAAAACTGCAGGCACAAACTGCGAGTTTCCTCCGACCCACGGGCTGACGCAAGGTTTGATTTCCGAATACCGAGTTGCTCAAAGCGACGCAGAGGAGGGCGGGGGTCGCACGTCGATCCACATCGTCCCCGAAAGCGAGGTGCTGGTAGAACCGCAGGAGCCGCACCAGGTATCCAATCTAATGGAAGGTGAGCATGCAACCAGCGCGCCTTCTACGGCAACATTGCGCGATCCCGCAGTAGAGGCAGCAAGACACGACCTCCAGCACGACCCCCGCGTTGGTGACGCGCACGTCCAGGCTTCCCGCCGCAATAAGACCCTGGCCCGGCACGAGTCCGAAGAGTCCTCTTTTGCCGAGCACCTTCCAGGGGCGAAGGCCGTGAATTCAGGCGTGAAAAATTATTTCTCCTTTCTAAACTCTTTCCACAAACGGAAACCGTCCCCAGTAGAAACTGATGACCCGCAGTGGAAGCATTTGCTACAGGTGCCGATCAAACCAGCAACCGGAGCTGCTGGTGGTTCGAAGCAGAAGGGAAACGGGATTAAGAGTCGCGGCGATACTTCAGCGTCGAGTAGTAGTCGAAACGGTTCCTGCTCTTCGTCATCCTCGGTCTCAATTTCGAATCAAGAGGACAGCAGCTGCAGTGTGGACGAAAGTTGCGCATTGAGTAGTGGTGCCATTCTTGAAGACGCTCCCGCTGGGTTAGTTTTGCAACCAAGTAGTCGCGACGAGAGCGAGTTGGGCAGCAGTAAAACTACAGGGACCGCTCATGGGAAATCAGCATCTTCAACAACAGAAGGGAAATTATCGGGAGCCACGTCGCTGTCAGTAGAAGCGGGCTCGAGGAAAAGTAGTCCTTCAGTCGAGGAGTTCATCAGCCTCAACGCCATGCGGCAGCACTGCAAAGCGCGAGGACCACTTCCCCACACAGATCCGAGTAAAGGTCAATATGTGCATGCCGCGGTCAAAAGAAGCGCTACGACGGCTGAACCCTCATCAACAGCCCCGTCCACGACTTCATCTCGGAGCCAGAGCAAAAAACAAAAGGAAAAGTTTTCGAAACACCAGTCAAAATCTTTTTCCCTCTCAACATCTTCGAGCGGATTCGCGTCCCCCGCGTCAAGCCAGGCCGGATCCACCGCCTACGTGAACGCGAAATCTTCGCTCGACACGCTGACCCAAGCCCTCTCCCTTATCGCGGAGACGAAAAAGGGAATCACCAATCTGCTCGAGGTGGAGGAGGAGAGCTGCGATTCCGGCTGCCCCACGCCCATGTCCGCGGTGTCGGCCCGGACAGGTGTGAGGCAGGACAACTGCTGTAGCGGGGGTCTGTACAAGAGCAACCCGGTCTCGTCCTCGTCGACCGGCTGGAGCAAAAATCTGCAACAGCAACCCGGGGCGCCGTCTTCGTCTTCCTGCAGTACACCCTGCTCTGCATCTTGCAGTGGCGCTGGGCGTCGTGCTACAACGGAAGAAGCGAAGAGGAGCCATGGAACGTCTACTGGTAATACTACGAGTTCATCCACCTCTCTGTCGTCATCTGCGGTGTCTGACGTGAGAAGTGTCAGCATATTAAGCGACGTCGACAAGAGTAGAGTTACTAGCACGACTGCATCAACAACTTCATCTACGTCCAGACACAGACTGAAAGTTGGGTCTTCATCCATGGTGGAAGATTTTGACACCTGCACACCACGGGCTGCTGGAGACGAGGTTTTGTTGTATCCCGCAACTACTGGGGGCAGAAACAGCATCAGCAACAGCACAACATCTACCTCCAAGGACGAGTTCTTCGAGCAAGTAGATAAGAACTTCCCAAGAACAAAACAATCGAAGCTGCAGCAGCTCCAGCGGTTTCAAACGTGCGAAGAGTTGCTCGCTCCACCACGACACGGACAAGTAGATGAGAGGGAACAGGAACAATGCACTACCGCGGCTTCTTCGATAGCGCTCGCGAGATCTTCGGCCAGGGTTTTGCCGCTAGGGCCACCCTCCGGGTGGTTTTCTGGTGGAAGAAGCACCAAAATACCAGGAAATATACAATCCGTCGCGCAAGAAGCGGACCAGCAGCTGGAGGATTGCCGAATCCGACACTCCACGACCTATCTTCCGTTCGACGCCGCTGCTAGAATGTCTTCTCTATCGGGCAGGTCTTCAGACTCCGCCTCGAAAGTAGTGCCAGAGGCGGATGAGACTTGTGAGTTTTTCGAAGCTGAAAGCGAAAGCGACACCTCGCCAAAAAGCGGTACTAAAAGTGGGGGATTAGAACAACGGGAGCGGCAAAGAAGCGTTGAGATCAAGGGCTTGACGAGCAAAGAACGGAGGGCAACTGCATTTTCTTTTGCAACTGCAGCTAGCACATTGACATTTCCTGTGGGACTTATGCGTGCAACAGCAAGGGTTTGCGTTTTTGGGCCGGTGGCGTACTACGGGCTGCAGATGTTTCTCACGATGCTCGTTGATTCGGAGTTCGAAGATGGGCATGCAGGCGATATTCTGTGAACAGGAAAGAAGATGAGCGTCTCAGGCTCATCAAACCTACTTATTATTATTTTCCATCTGCTAAGTGAGAGCTGACGCTGAGCATCTTGCTGGCTTGCAGTTTTTGCTGTCGTAGTTCATCATTGCTTTTTGCCAGCCGGCGGCGACGCTGAGAATATTCGCTTGCACCACACCAATAGCGGTGACAGAATATCAAGGCTTTGTTTATTTTGTGGTCAAACTCATGCTCCAAACATCGTGTTTTTAAAGGTTTCAACATATTTGCTGAGTTTTGGAAAAGAAACAGGAAATAAAGTTTGGGTACGTCAACTTCCACGCCCAGATGCTTTGTGTGAGCAAGGCGGGAAGGCGACTCAGCACAATATCCCTATGTCTTTCTGCTCAGTTGACTTGTCCTGGTACAAAAACTCCTCGACGTTGGAGGAAGTAGCTATCAGCTGGAAGACCGACTGGCATTGGTCTCTTGGTTTAACAAGAACACGTAGGTGGAGAGAGTGACAATGAGAGGACATGGAGCAGCCTGACGAGAGCGAGTCAAGGTATGGAAGCATTCCGCTTCGTTATGCAGCAATGGGAAATACAAAAAGCGAAACTCAATCTTCAGCTTTTCATTTTTCAAGTGGTCCGCCAGTCAACATCAATCCAGCAGCGAAGATGGAGATCCTATGTAGATCATTACAGTTACTCAGTTTAACTCCAAGACCAGCACCATAGAAAGACCATGATTGGAAGGGGATCAAAAGGATCATGAGTTTTCTAGTTCGGACAAGACGGAGGAGGGAAAAGGGTCAATGACCTCGACAATGAAGTTGACTACTACATCAACACCGTGAAGAACTACCTACATCCTGTTGATTTACCTTCTTCGCTGGGTGGCACTGCGTCGAAATAAAAACCGGAGCAACAATTAACATGGGGCACCTGCTCGAGGCTGGCGTCGGCGTGCTGCTGCAAGGACCGCGACGGCGCCTCGTGGTCCTCCTCGGCTCAGTTCTGACCCCGCTTGGAAATTTTTACAACTGCGGGTTTGCGGATGCTGCTGCGGCTGGCACCGGGGGGAACGGGATGATTCAAAAGTTGAAACAGACTGGTCTGAATTTGCTGACAAATTGGGATCCTAGGTACAAAGCACTTTTCCCATCTTGACTCGTAAAAGCACTTCGTAAAGACAAGCACTTCGTAAAGAAAAGTACTTCGTAAAGAAAAGCACTTCGTAAAACAAAACGTAGTCATGTAAGGCGACACGGCAGATACTTCAACACACTAGCAGCGTGCGGGGGGGGGCCAATGTGGTCCCCCCCACGCGCCGCGCCTATAAGTAAAACACGCCAGGGAATTTTCTTTTTTTTGCAGCAGAGGCTGGCTGTGGGACTTGGGGCAATGCCGGGGATTAGAAATGCAAATATGATGGCAGTGCGTTTCTATACTTAAGTATCTTGCTTCAAACATTTTTTCATTTTTTTGGCCTTTATTCACGCTCTTTGTCATTGTCTTTGGATTAGTTTCGCGTCACTTCATTGCACAAGTATTTAGAAATCATCATGGAAAATGGCGCGCGGAGTCGGAAACATTGAAAACGCCGCCGAGCTCGACGGAACCGCATGAAGGGCGGCGGGGGCGGGTTGGAAGATCTGCGCGCGTCGTTGGGGCCACAGAACGAGGAAGACTAGGCCGCGGGGCATACGCACGCGGGGGAGGAGGGGGAAAACGGAGGCGAAACGAGAACAAGGGGCGCAGTACGAAAATGGATCGAGGACCAACATGTTGGAGCAGGGGACAAGAGCGGAAAAGTAAGAAATCGGGAAAAAAAAAGCCGTATACCCGCGCAATTTCTTACATGTGAATAACATGGTGGGCGGGAGGGGTTCTTCACATTTTTGGAAACGCCCACCGCCCCGACTAGAGTAACTGAATGATGAAAAATTGGGGGCAGGGCAAAAAAAAAATTGGGATCCTAGGTATGGCTTCCCGTGGGGCGATAAGTGGAAGTTCCATTGTCCCAAGCCGACTTTCTCGACGGGATCCGGCTTGCCAGCCAAATTTGGAGTCCATGCAACGTGCGTACTGAAGATTCCCGTGCAAGAGGTGCCATGCAAAACGGTGTTTGAGGAAATCACACTGCGGGGAAGCGAGAGATCTCTTTGGGTGGATCCGCACAATATGGGGACCTACGCGATTACTTACACTGATCCGGCACGCAAGGGTCGCACGGCACCAGATGACGATCTCTTCAAGGTATGCGAAGGAATCTCGCTGCAGTGCAACTCCACATCAATGCAACATAGCCACGAGTCTTCAGTGTCTTATTCGTGATATTGGAACGAATTCCAATTCGCGAGCACGACTCTCATGGTGTTTCATTCTCGGCCGAAGACAAGTTCATGTCGACTTACACCAAGCATGGTTCAGGCCGCTGCACGTGAATGGACAGACGTGAGAATTATCGTCCGGGCCTACGATGTGAGAATTCTCCGGGCCTGTGTCGCTCCCAATAAAGCGAGGGCAATGTGAAGAAGAACATGGCTCCCTTGCATTCAGCAATTGTGAAGAGAGTTCTTGTGGTTGCTTATTTTTTATCCAGCTTCTGCGCATGAGTAAATTGACGCCTGCACGTGGTTTTTTTACTTGCATGCTTGTAGGCTGTAGCGCATTGCAGTTTTTTTCTTGGTATTTCGTGGCAGCATAGTCGAGGTAGACCGGCAAACAAAGCTACGGGACCCGAAAACAAACCAACCCTATACCGACAAAATCATCCTCCGCCTGCTGGAGGTCACGGAAAATATGAAAGTGGCGAGCTTTTGTCCTCTCCCTTGTCCTGAATCGAAGCGCACGAACAGGGAAGTAAGTTCAGACAAGAGAAATGAAGAAACGTTGTTGCAAGAAATCTACCTAGTATCGAAAGTACTGTTTATTGTGTCGCTGTCAGGATCATCCGCATTGTCCTGCAAGTAGGTAGTTCAGGTTCAGCTTCTAAAAACTTGTAAACTTTCGTATTTGATGTGTGACAAAGGAGGAGGAGGCAGGGGTCGTGCTGTTCACTTTTATAGAGTCCGGAAAAACTAGGCCTACGTGCAACGTTTACGCCTGCTCGATGTCGCAAGTGAAATCTGTGCGAGACGGGTCGACCAACTACTGCAACATAAAAAACTATGAAGAGTGCTGTGCTGTGATGGAAAATCGACGTCAGAACGGACACAAAAGCGATACCCATAGCAGTTCTATTTGAGGCGGCAACTATCATGCGTTGCCTACTTGTTGCATGAAAATCGAAATCGATTTTCGATACGGACATCGTCACAGACATAGTGAGCTAAGTATAGTTGTAAGTGCTGTTTGGGGGCACAGGCACCTCCAGAGTAGCCTGTTCCTGAGCAATTTTCTCTTTCGCCTTTGAGAGCGCGACAACCCTATTCAAGACAATGACAAACTGAAACTACATTATTTTTTTGTGTGAGCTCGTCCATTTGATTTTGTCGACTTTTCACGTGACGTTAGCATACAGGCCTGATCTGTGGGCACAAGTCAGAGAACAACCGCGAGAAGAATTGCCCGGTTATGCAGTATTCATTTGGTGACCTCGGTTGGACGAAGTCGTTGGATGAAGGCGGATATCAATAGCAAATATGTCTGGGTCTAGAGGAACGCACCGCCGGGAACAGGCTTTTTTATACTTGGCTGACAGGAGAAAATAACTACGCGTCATACTACCTAGTGCGATGCTTCTTCGTCATCTCTTTGTCATGCAAGAATCAACAATGCAATTACAATTTGTACTTGTAGTCATTTTCTTTGGTTTTTACGGACTGAGACATTGACATAGCAGCTCGTCAAAGTTGTCATGCTCGGCTTCGAAGTAGACGAGGCTGCTTGCGCGTATTTCATCTACCCGCACAGAAGCATCACAATAGTCTGGACCAGATCCATATTTGCAATGCAGAGCGGGTTGGACTTCGGTTCTTGCACTCAGCACGACGACAAGGAGTGCAAAAGTGGCGAGTACCTGGAACTGGAACCGGAGGAAAATCCCGTGCGGCAACTGGAAGTCTATGACGATGCGAAACAAGTGCCGGCGAGGAAAGATCGGCGAACTAGACGCGACAGCACATCATCAAGTAGTGCCCTGGAAGTGTTTGACGACGGGTCGTCACAGGCGCCAGATGACGAGGAAACTAACACCACCATCTCCACTATCAAACAAAAAACCCTTCAACGTTAAGAGCGGTCACTTTCACATAGGAAAGATAACGCATGACAGATTTTCTCAAGAATTATGCGTGTAATTTTATGAATGTGCAATCCTTAGCATTAGCCAAATATCTCCGCCTTGGTTCTTGTTTTCCTGGTGTCTCATTGCATGATGCAGAGTTCACGCAACTCAGTTGTGTTTCGTGTCAGCGTTAGCGGTTTTCCGTACTACGAAGATGTCGTCCATGGGTGCTCCAAATGCCTTCACCGGGACAGAAAAGGGAGAATTTCTCGACGAGCAGTGAGAAGAGCAGGGCAAGCAAGAGCGAAGCTCTTCTCGAACAGCGGCGCTTTTGAAGAAATGGAAAATAAGAACAAAAAGAAGTGCAAGTGTAAGTGAACACAGTCAGAATTTGTCAGCTCGAAGGCTAAGATAGAGTCACGCAAACAAAGTAGCTGGTCGTGGAGGACCAGCAAAAGCAACTCGTTCTTGCATCGCAAAGACAAGAACCCGCAGCACCGGAAATTTATTCTTGGCCGGGATTTCTTTTTGTTGGAGCGTACTGGTTGTACTAGACGTAGCTACTAGTACGTTATGGAAGCGATATGTTGTAGTAATCTTCGTGCTTGCTCGTTGGCTCAACATAGCGTCTGACTCTGCAACTGTTCTTCGGTCGTGAGAGATGAATGAAGCTCGATGCTTCCTCTATCGGTTGCAGAAAAAAACGTACATTTTAGATTTTTTTCAAATCTTCGTTCGGACTCTTCTACGTCAGCGGACTGTCGGTTCAACCGCGCTTCGTCATTCTTTCGTACCTAAGTAACATTTTCGTACGTTTGTGTTTGACCAGTGGCAGGCGATTTTCGGTTCGCGTGAGGGAATAAGATGTCGGTCGTTGCGCTGGAGGTGGTACGACGACTACGTAATGTAGTTTGCTTAACGTCGGCTCTTTCGCTTTTGCGTCATCGAGCTTTTCTTTTCAAAAGTATTGTATGCCGTCGGTCTATATTATCGAAGCTCACTCAATTCCGGCGTCCTCTCGTTTGGATAATTGAATGTTGTTCTACGCCATCCTTCTTTTGGCGTGTTTTCTGTACTACGCTCTCACTTTGGCGATGAAAGTGACCAAGCCGTAGATGTTGCCAACTGCCACGGTCTTCGCAACCGAGGCATGAGCTTTACATAATCTCATGGAATTTGAATCAAAAAGCGCAGGAGATTTCCCATCTCGTGTTTTTTTTTCGGTTTTATTTTCAATTGAAGACTTTCATTTTTCTCGCATCCCCCGCGAGTGGCATTTTTACGACGCATTTTTTTTTTTTTTTCAGCGCGTGTGCATCGACCTGGGTCTGTGAACAGGCTCGACATGAGTCAGCGTCACGTGACTGAGTTTGCATTTTTGTGGCAACTTCAAACCTGCACCTGGTTTTTTGTTGCTTTTCGTTTTCTTTTAGTCAAGGCTCCATTCTAATTCTCCTGATCTTTGTTTGTCGAAGTTGAAGGCACGATCGACCCTTATCTTTGTTTGTCGAAGTTGAAGGACATGGCACGACCGCCCGGGGACGGAAAGCAATTCTCGGGCAAGCAAAAAATGCTGAAGTTGGGAAGGTTTTCGCGTGGTCTTCTGGTCGGCGCCTGGATCGTCCAGGACGCGGCAGCGCTGGATATCAAGGAATATGTATGCAACAACACAAGCTGGTGGCTGCATCCTCTTCATCGACTGGCGTGCGAAAAACTGCTTTGCTTTTTCCTTCTGTCTCCTATCGCAGGACGTGCATGAGCATGATCACAGCACCGGCGTCCAAGTATTTCATATTAGATAGAAGACGAAGGAGCCGGGTCGTGTCGCATCTTTTCATTCGCAGGACGACCACAGAGAAGTTTACTCGTTCCTGCCTTCCATAATTGCATGCTCATCTATGGTGAACAAATTCGCAGTTGTTGGTGAAGATTCTGCAACACTTGTTTCCCGTGGATATCACGCGGCGAAGATGGTGGACGCACTGTATGATTACGGATTTTCCTGGACCAACTCGACGACTGCCCACCGCGAGACAGCTGGAATGCCCGCGGAGCAAGGCTCGGGGTTCCTGCAGCAGAAACGGCGATGCCGGCTGCGCGGCGGGAATTCCTGTGGAATCCAAGATACCGCAACGATCGGCAAGGACAAATTTCAAACTGGCAGAATTCTTAACACGGGGGTCGACGGAGGACAACCACCTGTGGCTGGTGCCGGTGTATGGAGGGTCGCGCAATATTAAAGAAGGCAGTGATCCCCTGGCGAGCATGTGATACTAGATTCTAAAAGGATAAAAGTAAAACTAAAAGAGCAGAAGATGCTGCACAAGCACATGAGGTGAATGCCATAAGTAATCCACGGAACACAAAGCAATCGACGTATGACTGCTAGTACCGCATTCTCTTTGTAGTGATCAACTCTTTTGTCATGGGAAAGACGAGCAGGAGAGGTTGATTTAGAACATGTTGATTCCTCGTGACCATGGATTCCGCAGTGCCTGCCGCAGGGGTTCCGAGTTTTCAATGCTTTTTTCCTCCATACGACAATGTGGCACCGCAGCATCAACAGCAACTTCTCGTCCCTGCTCCCCAGGTTCTTCTGGTGCCTGAACCTGCAAAAATGGTGCCTAAACGGGCACCATCAAGAGTTCGGCCACGAGGACCACCTGCTGGTGGTCCTAGAAGTACTACAACTGCACGGTCAGCAGATGCAGAAGGAGGAGAACACGGCCTAGTAGCACCAGTAGGAGGCCCAGGAGAAGCAGGCCAAGGGGGAGAAGGCCTAGGAGTACGACGAGCAGGACGAAAAATAAAACGAACTGTGAGCCAAGCAGCCGCAGCAGTCGGAGGAGCCGCAGCAGCCGGAGCAGCCGCAGCAGCCGGAGCACCCGGAGCAGTCAGAGCACGCATAGCGGGAACTGCAGCTCTAGCGGCGAGCAGAATTAAAAATTTTCGAAAGAGTGGAGATGACAAAGCAGGAAGCCTTTCAGCTGCACCAGCAGAAGGAGGCTACGGAGGACGAGGAGCAGACCTAGGAGAAGGCGTCGGAGGGGGAGACGATCTACCAGGAGGGGGCGTCGCAGGAGGAGACCCAGCTCGCTCCACACGAGAATTGCTATCCCAGAAGATGAAAACTGTTTTCACTGTACAACTCATCTGATTTTTGTATTGCTTTGTGAGATGGAAGGTGCCTACTTGTACTTGTACTTGATCTAGGCATGCAGGCAGTAGCAGTACTCCTACACAGCTGGCCCAGCTGTGTTTGTAACAGCAGCTGCAGCTGCTCTACTAGTGGAGCAGCTGTTGATCATTGGCATCATGCTACTGTTTGCTCCTGCTTAGTATCATCATAAGGACCAAAATTATATAATTTTGTCATTGCATGTTTTTCTTTTTCTTTTTGTTTTTATTTCTGCGAACCAATGCGATACAGTGTTGATGCAGGTTGTCATCTGTGCCATAACCATATCCATCATCTTCATCGACGTCCGTCGGGACGGCAACGGGAGAGATGGGTCATACTACGGCTACGGCAGAACCTCTACCTTCACCACGCGTCGACCAACGAGTGGCACCAGAGCCACCAGGACCCCATGATGAACATGAAGATGATGATCATGCTCATGACCAATCAGAACATCCAGACCGGCTGCAGAAGGTTGGGCACGGGTCTGTCACACCAGGCAGTGAGACATTTGACCGCGGTGATTCGGCGCATCTAGTTGAGCCTCCTTTTTTTCCACCGGTTGGCCGAGATCGGGAGACGGGGGCTTCGGGACTTCCTTCTCTGGAGCATGGCTATGGACGTCATGATGACGCGGCGACGCATGACGCAGCGACAGGATCAGAAGCGGCAGCAGGCGCCCTGGACGCGGGGGACCAGACTGCGCAAGCAGCTGGGTCCGAACATGAAGGACCGGCGTTCGCTGGGGCTTCGGAGGCTGGGGGAGCGCCCATGCAAGACACCAAGTTTTCATCTCGTGTTTCGACTGCTCCGTTGCCGGGCGGACATCTTGAACCAGTACCTGCGGAAATGCTGAAAGCACCCGGCGAAGTAGAAGAAGGCAAAGCAACTTTGTCGAAGGCCAGAACCGCCAACATGCACGATCTGGAGGCAGGGAAGAGCGGGAAACAGGCTGCCGAAGAGCAGGGCGCCACCGTCCCTGGCGCTCCATCACTGGATAGGCAGGGAACAGCCGTTGCAGGCGGCGAAGGCCACGGTGTCGTGGCGACCGAAGAAAGTACGGCGGCGATGCCGAAGCTGCCGGCGGATGACATTACGAAATATGAACAACCCTTCGACGTGCGTGCTGCAGAACCTGAGCCGCACGGTCAAGACTCTGCGGGGAGGGCGAGCTTCGACAAAGTAGAGGAACGCCAGGACCTAACGAAGCATGCGCCTGCGGGGCCGGCGGTGGCCAAGGCAGACGCTACTGTGCCCCAGTCTGAAGAAGACCCTGCCGGGCTTGGTGCTGCGGAGGGCACAGCAGCTGCCCTGGCTCCGCCAGGTGAGCCAAACCTACTTTCGACGCGCGAAACTGCTGCGGTGCCCGGCGACGCGAAAGACGAAGAGGTTTCTTCTTCAGTTCGTACGGCAGCATCGTCCGCCGCAACATCCACACCCGGCTCTCCCCCGGATACGCCGTGGGGCCACGGACGAGCCTGGGCGCATCCTGCTGCAGGAGGAGATGAGGAAGCTCCTTCTATCCCAGGCGCAGCTCCTGCGCTCCTTAGTGAAAAGACCACCGCCCCCGTTTCGGAAGCCGAAGTTCCTATCCCGGATGAGGACACCAAGGCGAGGGCTATTCCTATTGCGCAGACGCTGGCGCCACGTGTAGCACAAGAACTGCAAAAATCTTCTTCGACGGAGCCCAGGGGGGTTGGAGCTCCCGCAGGTGAAGAACTGGAAGAGTCGTCACTCTGGTACAAAAATTGGTTATGTGCGGGATCGTCAGAAATCGTCCTCCTAGGAGGGTCAGACAAATCCAGTGCCGCGGGGGCAAGCTAGAGGGGCACTTTCGGCTGCAAGTAAACCTCTCCCGTAGTATTCCTATCCTCGTATAATTTTGGATGTATTTGCCCACAGACTATGTATTGGTACACATTGTAGTTGTCGCGTAGTCTTTGCGTCGTATGTAATAAAGAGTAGCAAAGAAAACGACAGAATGCAGAACTGAAACTGTAGGAGGTAGAAGCGCACCACTAGTTTTTCTACAGATGACTTTCTTTAACTACGACTACCACCCCAACCACACTGGTCGTTTGGTCGCGCGGAGTCTTTTTGCAGAGGAAGGAGATGGTGAGGTGGTAGGGGCGGTTGGTAGGTTTAAACCTGACGCGCGCACTGCTCGCGCCCGTCCAAAAATTTTCTGTCGGGCGAGCCCGCCCGGTTGGCGGAGGGCGGCGATACATGAATCTAAAGCTGGCTTCTGCCTGTTTCATTGCAAGGGGTCCTCCCGGAGTGGTGGGGGTGTTTTCCAAGTCGCACTGTAGTAGAAATATAATGTAGTGAGAGCATTTATGGGAGCGTCAGGATCGAAATCGACAAAATCGAAAAAAAATTCTGGCTGTACTTGGCGGGGGCCTTCAGGGCACCCCCTCCGGGACCCGTTTCGATTCTGACACACTCAGGCATACCGTCGCGGCTAGCGGGAAAAGGTCCGAGTGTGTCAGAATCGAAATGCGAAATCCCGGCACCCCTCCAGGGGGCCCCTGGGTTTTTTTTCGATTTTGCGAATTTCGATCCTGACGCCTCCATAGCATTCGCATTGTGTTGTCCTTCCGGGCATGGGGAAGGCCTCTGTCCCTGCTTTTTCCCGGCCGCGTGTGCCACCAGCTGCTGCATCTAGACAGCCAACGGAAGATGCTTTGTCGCCATATGGTCCGAAAAACGCGGATACAGATCCAGTAAGTAAGGCTGAGTCACGAGACGCGTTTTCGTCGTCTTGCGTTCCCATGCGATCAAGGTGTAGCTCATGCGACCCGACGTCGCGGCGTACTCCGAGTACTAGTTACACTTACTAGTACGCAGGTATGTCCTGGCCCTGAAAATAGACAGCGGCGCGCATTACGTTTGTGCAGGGATCTAGGGTTGTAGTTGCTGTTTCATGATGTTGCTCATTATTGTTCGAGCGGCGCAGTGGGGTTGTAAAGGAAATTCTCAGTAACTTATGAGCCGTGGTGTGGAGCCAACCCAATCCCAAGTGGGACGGTTTCTGATTCTCCTCGACATGGTCGAATCTGGCGCTATGGGGACGACGATGGCTTTAGCTGCCCGGGGGTCGAGTGGTTGAGACGGGGCGCCAACGAAGGTTTGACAGAGTTTACTAACAGACATTTTGATACTCCTGGCCTCTCCACTAAAAAGCTCTGGCGTATGTCTTCTGTAAAGACGCTTACCCACTCCTTCGTGCAATGCCAGTGGCTGTGCTGATGAAGGTGATCAACTACGTGATCACTTACTGCATCATCACCAGTGGTTGTGCTGATCACTTATGCCAGTGGTTGTGCTGATCACTTACTGCATCATGATCAATGAATCATGATGCAGGTGATAAACCTAAACGTACGTGATGTAGTTAATGCTATTGACATGTGGTCTGCACTCTGCAGCAGTTCGTTGCAATTGAATCGTGCCAGGCGCTCTTTACAGCCGACAATGGACGCAAAGTGCCAACTCAGACTGATCGTGAACTCTAGCTGCGCGCGTGTGGAAGAAGAAATCCGTGCACGGGTGGCGGGTCACTACGGTTGGCTAGATCCTCACAACCTTGGAAAGTACGAGTTTGTTGATCCCGCAGAGAACAAGCCAGTACGAAACCGAACAAGGCAAACCGCCACGTGTATTTAAGGAGGTCACCGCTGGTTCCTCAGCTCTCTTGTTATGTGTCTTCGTCCTCCTCGTGAAAAAAATGGATGCAAAAGATGGATGTAAGACTAGAACATCCTGACATGAAGAGTTTTTTTGGACTCGATTTGAAAATAGCATCCACGAAATCCAAATCGTGGTTTTGAAGAACAAGGCGGTCCAGGCGTTTTTGTTATGGTTTGTCTTGCTTTGCATAAATGCCGCCCGATGTTAAGGACTTGCCCAGGAATGACGAAGATCTTGGAGAGTTTCCTCTCCGCGACTCCGCAAACCCGGCGCAATTCCAGGTGAAGCGAACCACGAATACGATTGAGGAATTCGAGGACAAGCTGAATCTACAGCTTGTGGACATAGACTATCTTCACCACGATACGACCGAGGCCGTACCTCGGAAATGCCAGGTTTCGGGTTGCTCCGAATCGCAGGTGTTTTCAACGTCCGACCAGTCAACGAATTACTGCAATCTGCGAAATTTGATCTGTGGCAAAAAGGACGGCTGTCCGTGGGTGTACTACGATGATTTCGAAATCGAAGCGACGACCTTTGAAAGAAAGGTCGGTCATAATGGCGAAAGGGAACCGAATCCGAAAAATGACCCGTACAGCGAGTGCACGGAACATGACCCGAACATTTGCAAAAGCGGTGTCTACAAGAATGATGAAGCTACGTTCATGGTACAGGCCACGAACGACAAATACCAGACTTCTTATACTTTCCGAGGCCGTCTAGGATTTCACAGGCAGATGCTCGAGGAAAAGGGTGCGTACATGACAAACCTGTACTGGATGACTCAAGTCCCTGAGACTTCTTCTGAAAAGCGGTTCTGGTCGAGCAGTACGCTCGAGCTGGTGGACGATGGATCGCCGTCGTCGTCAGATCTGGCTTCAGGCACAGCAAACGCGGAAAACAATACACGCGGTGACGAAGTAGCCGCTGTCAAAACTTTGCCATCGACACTGTCTGGTGAGTCTGAGATAATTTGCTCTGCATATTTTTTGCGAACGGAGAGTTTTGATCAAGCTGCGTCATTACTTATACATTTTTTTATTTTAATGGTGCAACGAGAGTCGACGTTGAAATTCAAATTTCAACGCGTCAGTTATACCGGATCATTTGGTTTGTCATGCGCACGCGCATTACCATTACATCAGTAAGTTACTTAATGACGATGGCAGTTTTTTTCAGGATGCGATCACTGGGATGACAAGGACATGACCAAGTCCAAGATTCGCGGACCTGCTGCCCCAACATCCTTTGCTGAAAGGCAAAAGGTGAAGGAACACGAAAAACTTCTCGGTAGTAAATTTTATTCCTGTTCTCATTCTACAGATTTTTGGTATTTACATATATGTTGAATTGATGGGCATGCAAATGCAGCATACATCACTTTTGTATGCATAAAGCTCACTTACTATTTGGTCTCTTGATCATCTTTCTTGTCGCGGGTTTGAAGTTGAACTTTTTTCCTTCAAAAAAGACTCAGCTTTGAGTTTCAAACACATCGCAGGGCTGTTGCGTGGCAACAAGACGAGACTCACTACATAAATAAATATACTACCTCCTGCTAATCAGGCTAATGCGGTTCATCGCAAACTTGAATTATATCTGCAAGCGAGATGAACCAAATTTCGACAATGGGACAAAGAAGTTCAGGCGAAGCGCCGCAGTGAATAAGACTCGGGTACCACTCATGAACGCGCACTCCGTTTCGTTCTTCTTTCCTTTATTGGGCATTCCGCGAACATTAGGATTCGGGTCAGAAGCAGCACGCCCGTATACCTAGTTTTTTTTCGGGAAGCAAGTGCCGAACTGGGCAGTTTCCGGCCTCTAAAACCTAGGCGCCTCGCTTTTTCTTTGCTGCATTTTATCTAGTGGCAAGTTACAGGACGAATAGTGCAAGTGTGGCGCACTTAAGATGTTGCTGGCGCTGAGCAGTAACAATTTCGTATTGTGTTGCTGTCGCGCCGGGAAGGTCCTGCCGCGTCCGTTCCCTCGGTACGCGTGCCGCAGGGCGGTGGCGCAGCTGAGACGTTTCGCTTCTGTGTTGATCTTGATGATTATTTACGGCGCGATCTCTTGTTCATGAAGAACATGCTCGCCCTACATTTGCAGCTGCAATAGATGCTGCAAAGTATAAATATTCATCTCTCACACAGGACTACAAGGACATGGCAACGAGGAAATGAAGAAGGCCGACGACAATGTCGCAGCACCTTCAACTTCCTCCGGGGACAGGGAGAAGGAGGAATTTCTCGAGAAGGAACATCGAGGCGAATGAACGAGCACACGAACACCGACGAGAGAAGATGTTGTGATGTAGACGAGCAGCTAGCTGAATAAACGCTCGAAGCCCGTCACTCGGGAGGAGTAGAGTAGCATAGATATGGGTTTTGTGGGTTAGGATTAGTGAGGTTTCGACAAGAATGACAAGGTTTGTTTGTTTTAAGTTGACAAGAGTTAGTAGAGTGCATGGACTATTAATTTTGCGATTGAGCTATTTCTTTTCGAGTTTATTTGTTCAGGTTTCTTTTTTCAAGCTCATAGGCCATAGCCTAGCGATCAGGATGAGGAGAACATCCAAAGGACGACGGTCGTAATTTGTTCAGGGAAACAATCACAGCAGTACTACGAATTGTCTGAAAAATCAGTTTTTGACACACGACCACCCCTCGCGGCGGGCGTAAGATGAAGAATTCCGACGAAATCTGTTTTGAATTTTGAACGTTCCGACGCGGTGTTGAGGAGAACAAAAAAGGCGCAAAAATTATGCCGACTAGTCAAGACGCATTGACAAAGCGAATTCAGCGCCTCCTGCTATTTTTTTTTCACATTTTTGTTTTTCTTTTTCAACTTTGACATTTCAGATTATTTTTTAGCGTTAAAATCTTGATCTTCTCTTCTCTAGTTCTACTAACGAAGCTTACAAAAAGGTATTCCGCTGTTGAATTATTCTTTTGCTTTTTCCCCGTTTTGCATTTTATACTCTTGTTATTGCTTTCGCTTATTTTTCACTGAATTAAATTTGATTTACTTTTACAACATAGGTTTAGGCCTGTCACGTCCTGCTTCGTTTTCTGCTTATTTTTTTGAAGTCTTTTTTTTTTATTCTTTGTCTTTTTAATGCATTCAAATGAAAAACGAAAACAAGTGACTACCGAAACTTATTGGCATTTCGATTTCCTTACTGATACCGAAAAGAAAATACTTAATTTTTGAATATAATCGATTACACGACGGAGGGCCCGATGAAAAATTGAGCGACATGAATATAAATCCGATAAATCAAAAATGAGTCTGTAGCTTGTGCCTGCACGACGAGAAAGGAGAAGATATATCAAATACCTCCGGAAAGTGAAACAAACAATTACAATTTTCAACGGCCTAAATCAAGAAGTGAAAGGGTGAACAAAGAAAGTCACAGCGGAATTGATGTAGGCTTCTACGCAATCGTAGTCCTGTGTGTTCGGTGCCTAACCGCCTCTGTATACAGTTTTTCATGCTTGTTATTTTTGCCTTTCAGTCAACATCGGCGAGAAGAGAAAAACCAAAAGACCAGACCGATGTGGAGGAGGTTTGGCCAAATAAACAAGTAAAGATTACAGAACAACTGTTGGAAGATCATAGTCCTGAAGAGGTTCCAACTTCACCGAGTCCTCCGTACTAACAAGCACTCACATTTTTACGCAACAGAAGAAGAAGAACGGTAACGGCTTGAAAGTTACAATGGAGCCTCTCATTTTCGGTCGCAGGTCCGACTCAGGAATGAGAATCAACATGTAGCCAGCGCCCTTTCCTCTTTTATTCAAGTGACTGACGTACGTGTGTAATTTTGTTTTCTTTTGACATGTAGACGTAGAGTAGGACAATTACGCACCAACTTCTTTACGAACGAGCGATACGTCGCTTGATCGCAAAAAGCGTTTTCCGTTTCCTGCTGTAGCTTGTTCCTACGGCATCAACAAACTTGACTTTTGCAGCTTCATTGTCCTTGCTGAAAACGATGACGTCCAGCACGTCTCATCTTTCAGCTTCAGCAGAAAAATCAGACGCACGATCCCCACGCCATGCTGCAGCCGAACAAAGTCGAGGCTTCTCATGCCGATCGCTGCAGTTGATGTTCCTCGGTAGTGCTGCGTTGTTTGATTTTTACGAAAGCGGCAATTTTTTCCGTCTGGATGGAAGAGGAAGAGCAGCAGCTACTTTTACGTCGTTCCCTATGGCCGCTGCAGCAATGCCACCTTCGAAGACCACGAGCGCAGTAGCTGCAAAGACTCGGACCAATAATTTGCGGCCGCGCCGCGAACGTGATCGGCGATTGTCGGATGGCAACGTTGTTGCCGACACAACAGCCGCAAACTCGCCAGGTCCTCGAGCAACAAACGACAAAAACGAGCAAGAAGACGAAACCACTGCTAGAAGTGCCAAAAACAAATGGCAGCGTAATAAAGACCTCCGTACAACAAGCGCTCCTGCCCCCGATGCTCGGATTTCCACACTGCAACTGCCTTTCTTCTCCTGGTTCTTCCGTGGAGGCGTACCAACGGCAAAAACGATGTCTCAGCTCTCTGGAAAAGTGTATCGCACTATTCACAGAAACAGTAACAAACTGTGTGCTATTTGCTTTTTCTGCTTGAGCAAGTAGCCGCGAACCAAGCTTGCATGGCGAAGCGCCCTCCGGGAAGCTATTGACTCCGTAGCCTTTATTGAATTGCCTGGCACTTCTATTAAGTTCGAAGTCGAACTAAGCATCAGTCGACGCAAGAAAGTTACTGGCGCCCGCGCCCCGCGACTCTCTAGTCCAGACGAGATGAAGTGACATGTTTGTCGTGTTTCATAACATTACGGCGGAAAGAACGAGAAGGACTATTTCAATTGTCCCTCGTCCCCGGCCTGGGTTCACGCGAAGTGCCAGCTCGAAGTCCCGAAAATCCAAGAATCTTGTGATCAAGTGGAGAAAGAGATTTTGGGCGTATCGTGTGCGAAAACGACACTGCTTGATAAATGCCGTGCTGTAGCTGTAGATGTATGGCAACATCAGAGTCATTTCGTGCTCAAGCGTAGAACCGAAAATTTCTCAAGCAAATAAAGAGTCGTGCTATAATAAGCACCATGGACTAGTAGCAGGGAGCAAGCCATAGGCTACAGTCAAGTAGTGTTTGTCGCACGTGATACGCACGTGTTTCGGGGGAGAACGGCTGGACGGATCCGCATAACAACGGGAATTACAAGCTGCTCGAGAAACCGAGCAACACGAAGCCGGATTTTATCATGAGGAAAAGCAGCACCACCACAGGACGACTGCTCTAACTCCTGTCATGCTGTTATTCTCTCAGAAAGGTAATAAATGGTCTGCTGCGACGAGCACTAGGAAGCGATAGCGTTTACGGTATGCACACGACGTCGAGGAGTCTACTTATGCATGAGCTGTTGACCACCATTCATGAGCACCAGATCCAGAATAATGCGAATAGAGATAGAGATTTAGATGACGACTACATGTTGTTTGGAGTAGAAGTGGAAGAACCACGTCAAGATAGAGCATATTCGTCCAACCTGTGGTCCCGTCACGTTCTTTTTTCTTTCCATACCCGCCGGTGACCGCCAAGCAGAAACAATCCGGCAAATCAAGTTGCAGCGCACGACCGGGAATGGGCGGTACACGGACAAGCTAACCTTCACCCTGGTCGACGTCGAAAGTAAGAAGATAGATCGCCAAACATTATACGGTGCCTCCTGCGCCGTCTATGGTTGTTCGGAGTCCCAGGTGACCTCGGTTCTGGATTTTTCCACGAACTTCTGCAATTTGCGGAACTTGTTGTGCGGGAAGGACGTGAGTTGTCCGGTCGCCAGCCAGTCTTTCAACATCGACTGGGCAGGGCTGGACTACGGCTCCTGCAGTCAACACCAGGACGCGAATTGCATCAACGCCGGGGATGTTGAAGATGGTTCTGCTGCTGGTGGTCGCGAAAATGCGAGTAGTGGGGCTGATATTAAAAGTACAACATCATCATCCACAGCGAGCAAAGCAGAGGTCGGTACAACTGGAGGTGGCGCAGCTGCTGCAGATTCCGGCACCACGAAGGAGCTGAAAAATGTTGTGGATCAAGATAACAAGCGGATACAACTCGCCGAATATGAAAAGCAAAAAAGCAGAGACACAAATGCAGAACCCGCACACCCCCAGAACTCTGACGAGGTCGCAGATAGAAGCCAAGAAGTAGAGTCTTCGTCATCGTCCAGCATGATCGAATTGGTCCACGACGGACCGGGAAGTAGTCCACCTGGGAACACGAACCCGCTGTCTTTCCCAAGCCGGAGTTCTACTCACACCACTAAAAACACAATGGTGGCCTCCCCTGGGGAAGAAGATCGACGAGAGGGTGAATCGTTGTCCGCAGCGCAGTACGTTGAGGAACTTGGTTAATGGTCTGGGTAGATCACCATCATCATCGTCATCTTTTTTCTTGTTGCAGCGAGAAAAGTGTCTCTGACCACTTTTATTTCTCAATAATGTTAGGGTGGGGTCACACCGCTTTACGTGTCTCACGCGTGAGAACGGCGGGGGGCCGCCCGCCGATCTCACGCAAAGCTAGCAGATCCTGGCTGGGGATCCGCGGCTGGCTTTTCTTCGTCGGCCGCCCCACCGGCTCGGCCGAGCTGGAACATACAGGCGCATCTTTGGACAAAGTGCCATGTTTTAAGTAGTTTTTTTTGTTGCTGCGAATTTTTCAAGCCATCACGCGCCGCGTTATTTTTTGCACATTGTCGCCACGCGTTTTGCTTTGGTGCATTGAGCAAGGCACACACCATGCGCGCCACTTGCTGCGTGCGCCGCTTCGCCTAGTAACTAACGCAACAGACACACACAACCTGGCGCTTCGCTGAAACCGACATAAGAAGCCGCGCGCAAAGTACAGCAATGCGTCGGGGGCTCTATTGCGTTGATTCTCAACGCAGCCCACCTCTCACGAAACAGAAATGCGCAGCGCCGCCCTATGTAATATTCCCACCGACGCTGTTCGCCACTTTACAGATAAAGTGGCCCCGATCCTCGCATGCTCCTCACAGTCACCGAGCTGGCGCGAGTTGCTACTGTGGGCGCGTGGCTGGCAATGTAAAGCTTCAAAAAAGCGGCTCCGATAGTGATACTTTGCTGAGTGATGCATCTTGTTGCCCGTGTCGCCGGGGGGGGGGGCCAGCGGACCAGCCGATCAAACAAAGCCAGCAGATCCCCAGGCACGATCTGCTGACTTTGCGTGAGATTGGCGGACGGGCGGGCGGCCCCCCGCCGGTCTCACGCGTGAGACACGTGAAGCGGTGTGACCCCACCCTTATTGGAAGATGCACACGGACGCGAATCCTGTTCAAATGCGAATAAAGAACGAAATTACGAGGAACGACTAGGGCAATCTTGTGGCGAATTTCCTAAACGACCAGATACCAGAGTTTGTACGGCCTAAAAATTGCCGCGCCTACCTTGTTGTTGAGGAGAAAACGATCTTACTTTTTGAACGCACATGAGTTTCAAGACAAGCTGGGGAACTATCAGTATGATTTTTTGAAGAAGAAAAACAAAAACAAAAATCTGCGAGAATATCGATGAGAAGTACGTACTTGTTTCCTCTGTCTTGGACAAGGACGACGTTGGACGGTGTCCCAGCGTGGTGTTTTCCCATACCTAGCGAAAGCGTATCGAGGATCCTCAGCGAAAAAAAATCAGGACGGAAATAAGAAGCAAGCGTAACGAGCACGGCAGATAAGTCAATCGGACCAGATGAGCACGAGGAGCGCTAGTACATTGAAATTTAACAACGCACAGCGGATACGCGGCCGTTATTTTTGTTGAGTTGGTAGAGCTGGAAGAGGTAGTGAAACCTCAGAGATCTTCGACACCATTTTCGCTCTCAGCCGTTTGTCGTTGCCTGCGCCCTGCTCCCGTATTTACCTCAGTATTGAGTCGCGTTTTGGCGCTCCTTTCTTGAGGTCGTTTGCTAGTACTAGTAGTACTCCTCGTGAGCTGCACAAGAATATCTCGGCAGCAACCGTCACTAAGCATAGCAGCAAGCACAATCACCTTCTGAAAGTTGCACGCTTGAGGCAGCAACAGCAAGAAGAGCATTTCCTTCCTAGAAAGAACGTGGATATAATTCACGCTGAAGATTTCAGAACGAACTACGATCATTTAACTCGCGGCACTTTTCTCAAAAACAAAATGTTCGGAAACAATTTTGGCGGAGGCTCCTCCATGTTCCAGAGCAATCCGTTTGGAGTACAACCAGCACCAGGAACAACAACTAGCAACCCGGCCGGGTCGGCAGCAGCAGCAACGTCTTCATCTCCAAGCGCAAAGCGGCAGAAGCTCGACACCAGCAGCGTAGCGGCAGCAGCTCCGGCGCTTCTCCCGCCGATTCCGAAGGAGCAGGCCGCGCCGCAGCATGTCGACGCGAACCAGCTGGCGGTGCTGGAGGACAAAAATGATCCGCTCGGCCCCCTGCAGCCGGGCCAGTCGACTAGCGTGCAGGGTTCGGGAACGTCTGTGTACACCATCGAGCGGAAAGGCGGAGCCACGATCGAGGCCGGCGCCTACTACCAGTGCAGCTGTCCGGCGTTCAAATTTTCGAATAAGGCGAATAAGGGGAAGCCGTGGGCGGCCCGGACCTGCAAGCATTTGCAAAAACTGCGGGGCATGGACCGGGAAGAGCAACGAATCCGAGACTGGATGGCCTTGCACGGTGCGGGCGGGGCGAAAGTCAGCGGTGGCGCGGGTGAGGATGGTCTTGGGGAGAAAGCGGTCAAGCCGGCGAAGGCCAAGGCCAAAGCAAAGGCTGGGGCTGCGGCGGCAAAGAAGCGTACTTACGTTAATATTTTTTTACATGATATAGTTAAAGATGCGTAGTCTGCTTGTTCTTTCAGCTGTCTTTTACCTGTTTGCTTTCTTCTGTCGCCATGATGTACTCAGCGTGCGGCCATTTTTTGGTGCAAGGCAAAGCCAAAGTTTGTATCAATCTGTAGCTGTTCCTGTTCGACGAAGAACTAGCACTGTCACAGAACAACCACCGACCCAATTTTTCAACAGGCGCCCGCAAGTCCGACGACCAAGTTGTGGATGAAGCAGCGGACAACAAGGATGGTGAGGAGGAGGAGGGTGCTGTCGCTCTGCTGCTCGCGCAGACCTGGAATCCCGCCACGCACGACGTGACGAACTACTGGGCGTCGGAGAAGCTCGATGGCGTCCGGGCGTATTGGGACAACGAGCAACAGAAGTTCTTCTCCCGGGCCGGGAACGTGTTTCACGCCCCGAAATTCTTCACTGATGCGTTGCCGAAGTCACACAAACTCGACGGGGAATTGTTTCTCGGGCGGAAGAAATTCCAAGAGTGCGTCTCGACCGTCAGAAAGCATGTGCCGCTGGAATATCCTCTGGGGAAGATTTTTTTTCATGGTTTGACAAGCTCCTGCTACTCGAGTTGATAGTTTTGTCATACGTGCAACGAACTACGGCTGGTCATGCAGAAAAGTGTACGCTTGCAGCAGGGGTTTTGTTGAACAAGAACTCTGTAGAGTAAGCATACGTGTGTAGGTGGAGGGGACCCCTCATTTGTTCGCTGCAACAACCCGAAAGAACTGATCCTAAGAATAAGATTGCAGTACTAAAATAAGAGTACTCTTTGTGAAGACAACCAGCAGGACTCACTACAGTCCTTGAGCTTGGATTCAAACCAGGAGGAATTTCCCCCCGGCGATACCTACCACGAGTGGCGACGGATGAAATACATGGTTTTCGACGTGGTCGATGAAAGCCTGCGTTTCGAAGAGCGCATGGCATTGGCGAAAAAGCTTCTCGCAGCCCAAAATAGCACTAGCAACAACCCTTCATACGCGGTTTTCCACGAGCACACGCAGCTGAAACTCAGCGGAGCCACCACGAATCCACCCGGGGAACAACTACAACCTCCGACGAGCAAAAGTCCCAGCTCCAGCTCGAAAACCACGACTACTACTGCGACGGCCGCAGCAGGAGCAAAATCGTCGAAAACGAACAACCCACCGAACAACCCGCTGAAGGACAAGGTGAATGAAATCGTGTTCGCGATGCTCAAGAAGGTCGAGCAGGACGGCGGCGAGGGCTTGATGCTGCGCGAGCCGAACTCCTTGTATGAGCGGAAGCGGTCCAACACCTTGCTGAAGGTGAAAACATTTTTCGACCTGGACGCGACGGTCGTCAGAATCGAGCAGGGCGCGGGCAAACACAAGAACCGGATGGGCGCGCTCGTGTGTAAGGACGCGATGAACAGGAGCATCGAGTTCAAAGTCGGAACGGGGTTTACGGACGAAATGCGCGAGAACCCACCACCAGTGGGGAGTTTGATCACGGTGAAGTACCAGGAAAAAACGAAGGACGGAAAACCAAGATTTCCGGTCTTCATGCGGGTAAGGACGGATAAGTAGGAGCGAGAGCAGATTAGAGGATTTCTGATCAGCATAAACTACCTAATAAAGGCTCTTGCGAAGGAAGACCGTTGGCGTTGCTGTACGTAGGTTGTATTCACATCTTTAACAAATGAGAAAGAACTTCATGGTAATCGTATGTACAACGCGTATCAAAAAACAACAAAGGCGAGAGATTCGGAAACAGCGTGCGTGTTTACGTCTGGTAACGTGCGCAGATTCCTGCTGCGCGATCGCGAGCTTGACAATGCTATGTAGGCTTTCCTGTTCAATCATGTAAATGTTGGAGCTTTACATGAACTTGATCTTGATCGATCTCCGATTGGTTCGTCGGCGTAAGCAGGTTGAAAAGCTGGTCAGATTAGCTCACATTTCATTTGAAGCGCAGATCCAGCTTTTTTTATCGGCTCGCTCAGCACCAAGGTTTGGCGATTTCTCGAGCACGCCTTTGTTTTCACTTTTGGAGAAAGAAGATGCAGCGTAATTGATCCTTCGTTCGCACATCATACGAATGCGTTTTCTCCTTACTTTTACTACTCTAGAACCAGATGCACGAGGATGCGAGCTATTTCTCGTTGCTTTCATGTATTTTCCGTTTGTACCTGAAAAAATATTATATGGACAGGACGGTGATAAACAAAACATCGACATTTTCTATCGTTGCAACACAATCAATTATTGGCCTTTATTGCGTCACCTGCGTCCTTCTTCCGGAACCAAAAAAGCTTTTACCCACAATATTTTTTTGCAGCCTAGGCGCAGCAAGCAACGCCTCTTGGTCTTGTGCACTAGAGACAGCACCTGCAGGAGCACCTCCGACGTAAGTCTCGTCGTGTCATGATTTCCAGTTCATGCATTTGCATTCCTTCCTGCACGTATAATACGTATCTGAGCCCTGTTGGTACACAAGCAACACAGTGAACAGGATGAGGTCGCCTATCCCTGCTCCATCGCCCCTTATTTACCGACTCGCGCGCCTGGTCGCCGGCTCAGTGGCGCTTTTCAACGGCAGAGAGGCTTTCTGTGCAAGTCCATTCGCCTCCTGGCCCAGCACCCCGAGCACGACTGCGTCAAGTTTTCTAGCGACACCTGTCGCGGCAGCACAGGAAGAGGAGCAGAAGCAGAAGGCGGGGGAGATTACGCGGCTTTTGCTCGAGCGCGATGTCGCGGGCCGCGAGGAGACAAGAACGACTGATGGTGCGAGCAAACTACTTCCTCGCACTCGTCGAGCAGACATCGACCAAGATGTCGACATGATGTCGTACCCGCGCACCAGCAGCACCAGTAACAAAGAGAAAGACACCTCATTATCTGCAGCAGCGCCCAAATTCAAGCGCTCGGTGTCATTTTCGTTGTCTGACGACAAAGTTTTCATCATTCCCAGCAGCTATGATGCGGCAGAAGAAGTAGAGAACAATGCGGCGCCGCGTGTACATGATCAGCCAGATGATCTCCAGCCTGAAACCGAAGCTGAGGGAGTCATAGAAGTTTGCACAAGAAGAAAAGGCTCTGACTCATCCTCATCTGATTCCTCAGATGACTCTTCGTCGGAGGATCCTGGAGACGATGATGAGCAAAATGCAGGCAAGACGATTTCCAAGCATGACGACCAACTTGGCAGTAGGTTGAAAGGGAACCAGCTGGTGCTACGCTCCACCACCGGCAGCGGTGGTCCACGAGCTCCACGCACTACTACACCAGAAGCAGAGATGGAAGATGTTTCTCTATTGACGAAGAATAAGAAATCTCCTTCAGTTCGGGATCCTCGGCACGACGAACAGCCTGCTTTCCCCAAATCGAGGACTGCACCGAGCGGCGCAGGGGGATTTGGCTTGAAGAATGACTCGTTTTCTGGCGCATCTGCACGCCAGCATCGTTCCTTTTTTCGCCAATTTTCGGAGGACGAGCCGGAGCCGCAGCGTGAGCCAAGCGACGGGGTAGAGCTCCTCAGCGGATCAGCGGAGCAGCCTCAAGAAACAGAAAATGCAAATGGAAAAACAACTATTGTCGAAGTCGACCCAGAAATGGCGGCCCTCGAGAAGCAGCTCCGCGCTTTGGCACTGTTGAAGGGGGATGCCCGGGCGAGCCAGGACCAGCTTTGGTGGGGTGTGAGCGAAGAAGAGAAGGCGAGCATGCGGAGGGACTTGAGCGTGATTCAAACGGTATTTTCATCATCTTCATCGGGTAATACACCTAATCCTAAAAATAAACCGAATAAAGCAAACTCAACAAGCGCTGCCGCATCAAATGTTGACAAATCGGGCACGGCCAGGGAATCAGAAGCAGACACGACCCCCTGTCAGGAAAATAGGAATCACAGTACCATCGGTGAAGTTCCCATGGATGTCGACGCGGATGTGGGACAAATACAAATAGATCTTGCGGAACTCCATCAGGGGTCTCCACCAAAGCTACTCGCCGTCCAAGATGACCAGGCCGCACGCAAATCGCCTACGCACGAGGCGAAGAGACACGCGGCCGTCGACAAATCCAGATCTGCAAGCTCCTCTGTTGTCTCAGCAATGCCTTCGAGCGGGCTTCTTGTCCCCCCTCCTACGTCCAGAGGCGTGCCAACATGTGCAGTGGACACTTCTGAGTCTAACACAGTTAGTAAAGGTTCTGCAACATCCACACCGGCTGGAGGTAGCAAGAAGAAGAGTAAGTCATCTCCAAAAAAGACGAATGACGGTAGGCAAAGAGCTCGCAGAGATGCTGGAGGACAGGCGAAAGACCACACGGGGTCAGGTAGCGTCAACATCGCCAAGTCCAACTCTCACCAGGCAGTAGAAAACCATCAAGATCAAGATGATGATCCGAGCAAGCAAGAACCCGGACATGAAACGCAACCCCCGCAACGAGAGACTACAAGAACGACAACGGCCGAGCGCGTCAGAAATATCGTCGCGCGTATTGCTAGCCGACTCGCGAACACGGGCAGGTCGTGCACATCCGAGCTCGATGTGAAGGACCTGCTTCGGCAGGCGGCCAGGCAAGGCGAAAAAGTTGCGTGCGGAATCGCGCATGGTCTCGCGCACAACGTGCACGAAACCGTGGTGGACACCGTGGACGCGGTGCACAACTACTGCATTCCGGTCGGGGAGTTCTATCTGCGGCATTGCATATCAACCGAACCGGTCTCCAAACAGTCCTCGATTGTAACGGCTAAAAGTACCAAAAAAATACGAAGAAAAGTAGTGCGGCCTGAGTTTGTCATTGGACGAGATTTTTGGAAAGCAGACCAACTAATATGGTGAACGTAAAAAAGAAAGGGCATGCGACCCTATGGAATAAAGTAAAGGTATGATTTTGAAGGTGAAGCATTTGCATTGAATCAAGCAGAATTCGCATCCGCGATACTTACAGGTTTGAGCTAATGAAGATGAGGAAGGTTTTCATTTTCAGAATAATACGCTGCTCACTTCAATCCAACGTTAGCTTACGAGGAAGGGGAGTTAATTTGCGGTCTCGTCACTACGTTTCGGAAAACTCCCACCCACACTGACGCTTCGTGTTGCAAGATCTGACGGACGGTATTCAAAATTGGATGTACTACTTTTTCTGCATGCAAAAGCCACATGGCAGAGCGACAGCGAGGGCGGCGATTTTTTCACCCGGCATAGCAGCGATCCTGTTCCTGGACAAACTGGGTTTTGGGTACTTTTTTCAGAACGCACAAAAGCGATTTTTTGACGTTTCTATCGATAGGGGAAATTTTGAGTCCGTCGCATTGAAATTTGCAAACACAACACTTAATTACTTAGTCGCTATCGACTCACAGAGAGTTTCTCTGCAATAAACCGCGTATCAGTGGCGAATTATCGTTGAAGCTCCATGTCTGTGCAAAAGTTCAACCGCGGCACCCAAGAAAATTTCCTTCTGACACCCGATTCCGACATGCAGCAGGCTTTAGATGACTTGGAAGAGCATTATCTGCAGGAAGATCTCCAGGCTAGTGCGGGAGACCAAACGCAAACCGCCAGGAGCATGACGGACGAACTGAATGCGATCGGGGTCGCAGGTGGACCAGATGAAAGATTTGCTGCAGCAGAAGACGACGAGTTCGAAAATAACACGAATTCGGCACGTAGTTGTGATATCGTCGGGCAGAGGCAGAGCACGCCGTCGCAAGAGAACGAAGTAAATGATCGTGAAGGAGCTGCAGGAGCTAACCCTGCTTCCGGGACTACTGGCCGCGTAGCTACAGGTACTAGCACTACAGCTGAGGTGAGCAGCGACGGAGCAAATGCAAGACCTAGACCTTCTATGATGAACACAGATCATTCGCATTCCAGATTCGACGTGTTTTGCCATCGAGTCGTGTCGGGAGCGGTGCAGTGGATGTATGATCGAGTGAAACTATCGGACGAGGAGAGAATGGAGCTCGAACTCGAAAAGCAATTGAAAGTAGACGTCGACACAGGTAACGCCTGCAGCCACGAGGGCGCCCTCTTGTTGGAGCAGATGCTTGTCAAGGATAAGAAGGGCGGGATAACATCATCAGGAAGCACTAGCGCCGGTACAACCTGTAGAAGTTTTTCGTCCACCTCTACCGCCACAGTGGCCGGCCCTTCTTCCGCCTCCTCGTCGTCATGCAGTGCCAAAGGAGCTGTAGGTAAGGGTGCAGCATCATCGAAAACCACGGTGGCGGAGAAGGAAAAAGACCAGGAGCTGGAAAAGATGCAGAAACTGCACCAGATGATGAAACACCGACGGAGGCGGGATTTGAAAAAAATCTCGGAAATGAGCAACAACGGGCAACTGATGATCTCTAGCGGCGTATTGGAGCAGGGCATGGCAAACTTCAAAAATTACAATAACCACGCTGTTGGTGGTGCTGGCGGTGCGACTTCTAGTACTTCTCCGCTTGTTGGTGCACTTGGCACCGCGAAGATGAAAAAGAAAAAAGAGCAGAAAAAGATGATATCCTCACCAGCGACGTCAAGGACGTCGGCTGGGGCGCCGGCCGCAGGTGGAAATCTTCACCTTGATCAGGATCTTGCTACGACCGCCTCTCCAGAGGATATCTCCAGCCAGATCCAGATTTACAACCGAACCCGGCCGAACCAGCCGCCCACTGCGGACGACAAGGTGTACTTGAAATTGCCGCTACACGCTATTTTCACCCCAGGGTATTCCGACCAACCAGGGGCCCTCGAAGCGGACGCGAGGCTTTGCATCGGGCGCCCTACCATGGTATCCAGAAAAAAACACCCATCCCCA